GCCGTACTGGGTCAGACCAAAGGTCCATCTAGCCCAGTAGCCTGTCTGCCAACAGCGGCCAACACCAGGTGCCCCGGAAGGGATGGACCAAAGACAATAACCAAGCCATTTGTTTCGTGACATCCATCGCCAGCCTTCCACAAACAGAGTCCAGGGACACCATTCCTACCCCCTGGCTAATAGCACTCCATGGACCCAACCTCCATGACTTTATCTAACTTCTCTTTAAACTCTGTTATAGTTCTAGCCTTCACAGCCTCATGTGGCAAGGAGTTCCACAGGTTGACTATTTGCTTTGTGAAGAAGAACTTTCCGTTATTAGTTTGAAGCCTGCTATCCATTCATTTCATTTGGTGTCCTCTAGTCCTTATATTATGGGAACTAATGAAGAACTTTTCTTTTTTCACTCTCTCCACACCACTCATGATTTTATAGACCTCTATCATATCCCCCCTCAGTCTCCTCTTTTCTAAGCTGAAAAGTCCCAGTCTCTTTAGCCTCTCTTCATATGGGACCTGTTCCAAACCCCTAATCATTTTAGTTGCCCTTTTCTGAACACTTTCCAAGGCCAAAACATCTTTTTTGAGGTGAGGAGACCATGTCTGTACACTGTAATGAAGATATGGCGTATCATAGTTTTATACTTCCCCTCCTCCTTCTTCCCCTGGCTTCCCCCTTCCAGCTCCCTCCTCCCAGGTTTCCCCCTCCCTTCTCCCACCCTCTCTCTTCCCCTCTCGCACCTCCTTTTCCCAGTCTCCCCAGAGGTTAAACCCCCCCCTCCCAGTTTTGTTAAATAAAGAGAGTTTCTATTTTTGAACACACGTTTACTTTACCTTTTACATCAGGAAGGAGTGTTAGGGAGGGGTAAATGGAAGGAGGTGAGGGAGGAATGGGGCTCGAGCCCCCGATGGGGAGGACTGGGGTGGCTCTGCAGGCTCCTCAGGGTGGAAGCTCTCCTGCAGGGCCTCCTGGATCCTGACAGCCCCCGACTGACCCCTCCCCCCGGATGGCAGCCTGTGGCAAGTGCAGCCGGGCTGATGACCGAGTGCTGTGATGTGCCGAGTGTGGGCACTCAGGGCACTCCAAGATAGGACTGCTTTGCTGTCCCTCACCGAGGTAGACAAGCAAGTGGGGAATCCTGAGAACTGTCTGTCCAGGGTTTGGGGTCGGGTCCCTTTAAGCACAGTCCTCGGCTAGCCTGAGGCAGCAGCTCCATGCTCTAAGTCCTAACCTGATGCCCTGCTGGCACCTGTTCCGGCCAGCCAAAGTCAAAGTCAAAGTGGAAGAATAATTTGATAAAAGTATAACACAGGACTTGGGAGCTTCAACTTATCCCCATTTAGAAGATACCTTGTTGTGTTGTGTAATTTCTGCCTATTTTAACCTTATGGCATACTTCTCTCCCTTTAATCATATTCAGTCAGAAGTACACTTGTCACTTTTTCAGATCTTTCTATCAGAACATCTCAACCCTTCGTCATTTGTCAATTACCTGTTAGGGAGTAAGTATTAAATAACCATGTGATAAGTAAGCAGCTCCCTATTACAGATAAGCAAACAGAGAGGGAGGTTAATTATTTCATAAGGTTACATACTTCCAACTCTAAGGCAACAAAAAAATATATGATTAAAGCCATACAATTTTGGGAAGTTTGAGAGCCACCGTTGAAGTGAAACTAACCAAAAGGAGTAGAAATTTACTTTTAAAAAAATACAAGGCAACATTTCACCTAATCAAATGGCTCCCAGAGCTGGGGCATTTTGAAAACAAATATTTGAGACTTGCAATAAAATTACAAGAGTTAGCAAGTGAGTATCTTTGAGACACAGAACTAGGACCCAGACAAGAAAACCCATTTACAGACAATCTTTTCGTTTTAACTGTTCCTGACTACCTAACCAGCTTTCATCAAAACAAACAATTGGAATGCTTCTCTATACAATTTTCTGAGCTGCAAACAACAGGATAGGTGATCAAACCAGAGAACTGGTCTTAATTCAACAAGATGAAATTCAATATGACAAGTGTAAAAATCAAATGCACAACCACATAATATTACTGTAAAGGATCTGGCTGCTACAGGAGATCACAAAGTGAATTAGCCAACATGTGATGAAGTTGTGAAAAGCGCTATCATCACTCTGGAGCGTACTAACAGGAGCATTGTCTGCAAGACATGGCAGGTAACTATGCTATTCTACTTATCAATGGGGAGGTCTCAACTGTACACTATGGACAGTTCTAGTGCTATACTATGAAGTTCTAGGTGTTATGCTTCAGCTCCACAAACGAAGTGGAGAGAGCCCAAAGGAGAGCAACAAAAATGATAGAAGTCTGGCATACGCAGAAAGGTTAAAGAACCAGGCTTCTTTAGTCTTGAGAAAAGATGCAGGGGAGGAGGGGAAGAGAAGGGGGATTAAGAGAGAACCTGATAATAGCCTTCAACAATGTTAATGACCATTCTAAGAGAGAACTGTGATCAACTGTCCAATGAAGGCTGGAGAAGTAGTTACGAGCCTAATCAGCAGCAACGTTTAAGTTAGATAGCAGGAAATACCTATAATCATGTGCTGGAAAAGGCTTCGGAGGGAGAACAAAGCATTCCCATCACTGGATGTTTTTAAAATGTTGGACAAGCCTATCAGGGATGGTCTAGGTAAACTTGGTCTAGCCTCAGTGTAGGAAGCGGGAATTGAGAACCTCTTCAACTCTCTTCCAGCCCTACCTTTCTATGATTCTCATTTAAATTCCAGTTTTATCCATCATATCAAATAAATATTGGTACAAAATCCAAAGCGAAGAACTGGAGAGAGATTTATTCTCAAGTGTCTTCCACATGTATGAGAAGCAGGGAAAGCTACCATCTAATTTCCAAAGACCTCCCCAATGTCTATGGGAAATTATGCTAAGTTTCCTCCAATTGCCATATACTATTACTTCTGAAACAAGCTGGACTATCAAGTTGTTAGACTGAGTTAATAACCTTAGTGAATAAGATGACTGATGAGAGGAGAGAAAACAGTGGTAGCTGAAATAAAGCTTCAAATGGCTAGTTCTTGTAATTTAGCTAGTAGAGACCTTCTTATCACATCTGAGTTTTGTTTTCATGTAAGACATAATAAAAAAAAACCTCCGTGGATTACTGGAGGAGAAATTTTAATTATAATTTGCCAGGCAGTAACGTACCTAGACCTATTTGTTACTATAAGCTCTTGCACAAACATCTTAAGTTAAATAGCACAAACATTAATGCTCACAAAGTGCACACACATGCTAAAATTACCTCATTATACTTTGCATAACCTGTCTCAGTTAATGCCTTCAAGAATGAATGGAAAAAAAAAAGGTAAAAAGAAAAGTGATTATGTCTGCAATTTACTGGTTAGAAATAAATCTTTCGAAAACAGTATTCCAAGGTGATGTACCTACAGCTTCGCATCTTAGTTTGAATTCTGAAAGCAGCATTAAAATATAGTGCAGCTCTAAAAATCAAGAAAATTGACTTTGAACTTTATGATGCTATCAGGTCAGAATTTATTTCTAAAAGCTGCAAAAAATTGTTTGCCATCCCACACAGTAAAGATTTGAATGCACATCTATTTATATTTACAGTAGTCCACTGACTCATCACTGGCATTGGGATAGCAAGTCACATATAGAAAGAGCTTTTTACAGCTCATCACCTTCTGCTCTGGAACATAGGGATCCATCATAAATAGCATAAAGCCACTAGACCTAGTTGCTGAAATTCAGTTTTATCACCAATAACCCAGAGGGCATGCCCTCTGGGTTAACAGATCAGGTTAGTAGTTCTTCTTTGTTGAGGCTCATCTATATTACCCTGCAGTGCAGTCTACTGGGTGTGAATAGCAGAACGCATTGAGGTGCTGTGCCATCACATTCCACTGTGTGGATGCTGCGGGCTCAGATTGACACCTCCCTCTTCATAATTACGTTAATGTCAACTAAGAACCTTTTAGTTCATGCCTGCAGCCTTGAAATGGGCGAGTGACAGTACAGCATTTTGGTGTGCGCTGCTATACACACCTGCATGGCAGCGTAGACATTAGCATTTATCACCAAAGGCTAAAACTCAAATTAGGAGACCGTATATATCTGCTTGCTTCTCTAAATATTTCAGTTATCTAAACACTTTTGTAAAACTTGAACATTACGTTTTGTGAAATCCTAATGCAAGCAGCCTGTGTTCACACTTCCTTTTAGGAGCGTGGGTAAGCCACAAGGAACAGCCCCCAATATAGCAAAGCAAAGCAAGTACTTGACGTGATTTGTTGTATTGGGAACCATAAGAAAATGGGTGTATACTCAAGAAGCAGGGTAAATGACAAAACATGGTTACACAAAAGATTGATAAAAGGGAAGATAAATGTGAATACTTTCACATTTACATCAAATTGATATTAGATAATTCCTTAATATTCCTCTGAGGTAGCCAATTCCTAGAACTATTTTGCAGTTGGTAATGAGTTGGAGAGTAGTCAAAGAGATTTAATTAAGGTGGCTCACCAGATCAATGACTGGCCCCTGCTCAAACCACTAGACTTAACTTTATAAAGAAAGAAATTGTAACAAACACAGATTTACCAAAGAACACAAAGGAAGAAATGAATTATCCATACTGAACTGCATTAATAAGAAATATCTTAAAGACAGGTGAGCAAGTAGGTGTTGCTACTGGTAATGGATAAAACTTTCCTTTTGAAAATCTCTTTCAATGTGTTTATTGTCCCTGATTTATGAGGGAAGTGATATTTCTTTGTACTGTATGGTTACTAAGGGGCTGCGCCCCCCTTGTTCACTATGCGCTTTCTGGGGGTATATGTCTGGCCGGGGAGGGAGGGGGAATGCAGGAGTGGGCTGGGGGCATAGTGTCTGTCCAGAGGGGGCAGAAGCAGGCTGGGGTAGGTGTCTGCTGGAGGGAGGTGGAGCAGGCTGGGTTGTGGGGTCTTGGTGGAAGGGGTATATGAGGCTGCAGGGTTTTGGTGGAGGGTGTGTCTGAAGGGGCTGGGGGTATGAGGTATCAGCTTGGGGGGTATGAGTAGTGGGCTGGGGATGCAGGGTCTTGGCAGAGGTGGTGTGTGAGGGAGTTGGGGGTGTGGAGTCTCAGCAGGCAGCAGCTTCAGCTCTCCCCCCAGCAGCCGGGGATGTCTGGGCCGAGGCTGCAGCATGGCAGCCTCTCCATGTGGCTGTCGGGAAGGGGAGGGCCGGGCTTAGCCCCAGAGGCAGGGCCTTGGGTAAAAGGGGCAGGGCTAGGGTTTGCCTTCCCCAGCTGGGCTTTCACCACCCATGCCTATCCCCACTGCCTGTGGATGCTGATGACGTCATTCTGTCATCCTGCAGGAAAAAAAAATTAGAGAGAGAGATTATGGATTAAGAAGTTACCTGCAGGAAACTGTCTCGGCAGCAAAGGAATTCAACCTTCTTCATGATGGACTCAGCAGTTAACACCAATTCATTTTTACTAAGAGCTGGTTCACTTTGACATGGATATACGGCCTTAAGCAATAACAAAGAGTTATACTTCTACATACATAGACCTCACAGGGCCATTGCATTAATTATTTTAGAGATTAGTTCTGTGTCCTACATGGACAATAAAGTCCCTTAACACTTCACTGAATTACATCCCAAATATATGTACTTGGAAAAATATCAACCCGTATTTTAATGATTACACCAATCAAATTATTTCAGCCAGTCACTTAAGTCCAATTTGCCACTTCCACAGAAAAAAAATTGGTCTTAGGCAAGATAAAATATGAACATTCTGCAAACAAGAAGAGATGTTCAGCCTTCAAACATTTCACAATACCTCGTTAGGCTTAGAGACAGCCAACAAGGCTCTTTTTACTTGTGAGCTGAGCAATCCAACAACTCGCTACGGAAGAAAAAATTTTCTTCCCAATAAGCCCAATCCATCCACCTAATTAATTCAACGGTAGTCCAACCACTGACTTCAATGGGCTATGGGTAAGGCATGAACAGCATACCCTAAAATCTTCCCAAATGATCGTCTATTCATTCAATTTCAAAGGAGCTTTAGCATTCTTTAGTTAACATAAACCTGCTAACAAAGTCCAGCTGATAGATCTGGCAAGAAATTAAGTTTAGAAAGAAATCCTTACAACACTGAGCATCATACTATTTTATCATGATACTTCTCTATGCCCTAAATACTATTTCACGTCTCTGACATCTAGAGAACCTAAACATATTTGCAACAGATGATTTCAGAAAAACTGACTCTGATGTTGTCCAGGACTCGCTTGAATTCCAAAGGCTCATCTTTCCCTTCCATAGCGGCAGGATCTAAGCCATCTCCCCCATAAATGAACTGTATAATGTCACCAGTAGAACTTCTGACAGTCAGATCATATTGAGAACAAAGATCTTCAAGAGATTTCACCAGTCGTCTCTGGAAAAAAGGAGAGGAAGTAAAGATGACTGTTTTTTTAAGACTCTCCAGGCATTTGAGTTACAAAAAACCCCTTATGGAATATGGTGCTGAAAAAATAAAACTTTATTTCATACACTATCCATAAGATTTCATTTTATGTTCCCCTGAGAACAAAACAACTCAGCAGTAATAAATAAGTCAATGCAATATGAAGGTCTGCAAATTTTCCTTCATACACCTCATATAATTTAATTTTGCGCGCGACATACCAGAGGTGCCCATTGTCTGCATTTTCCCAGGTGTAAATTATGCTTTGCACCCTTCGTGGGAAACTTGGTGTTCAAAGCCATTTTTCCTAATTGGCCACTTGAAACCAGGAAGAAGCCTACATGACCCAAGGGGTATAAAAAGAGGTTCAGCCGCCCACCCCATTTGAGCTCCAATCATCTATACCTGCTGGCAGGTATTGATTGTCTCCCGAGGTCTGTGGGACGCCCCACCTCGCCCTACTTCTTCCCGAGGGATTGAGAGAAAGACGCTGGCCACGCCAAGTCTGGAACGCAGGGGTGAGAATATATACCTGCTATGTGTCTATTTTGCATGCATTTAATAAGAGCTCAGAGAACCAAAGGGTTTCATGGTACCTGTAAGTGACTTATTAGTGTAATTTCTGTCCTGTCCTTTGTAGTGTCTGTGTTATCTGTAACACAGTAGTAGCATTTAACAACTAAGTTTACCCTGTAACAATAAAATAGTAACTGTTTAAGCTTTAACCTGACTCCTTCAGTTGCTGTAACAGAACCAAGCACAATTTAAAAAGAACTTCAGCCGGTCATAAGGGACTCACTGCCCTGACCGTCGGCTGACACGCGCGCGCGCGCGCACACACACACACACACACACACAAATTTAATCACCATTAGAGTCTAATACTGTCCACTTTATCTGGAATTTAAAAATACGAATACTTTTTAGGAAAATGTCTTTACAATCACGTGTTTCTAACCAGCTTTGTTTTCTGGTATTATTTTTTAAATGCAGGAACATAGGAGATCTTGCCACAGAAATGGTCTTGCAGGAAGAAAAAAAGAGCACAGTCAGCCTGAACATCGGCCTCTTTTTAAAAAACACAGTGTTCTAATTTATGAGTCAGCCTTCAAGGTATTTGTGGCACATGTTCAAACCCACATAGCTGTGATTAGGCAGGGCTGGGCAAACAGGTCTTAAAAGAACATGAGCTTACTTCAATTTACATGTAAATAATAACAAGGAGCTTGAGAAGACATGGCAAATCTATACTTTAAGGGTGTGTCTAGACTACAGAGTTTTGTCGACAAAAGTGGACTTTTGTCGACAAAACTATACCTGCGTCTACACTACCGCTGAGTTCTGTCGACAGAAGGTGTTATTGCATGTAGGGTTGTGTCTAGACTACAGGGTTTTGTCGACAAAGCAGCATGCTTTGTCGACAGAACTGAATGTAGTCTAGACGCTCTTTGTTGACAGAAGCTTTGTCGACAATATGTGTCGACAAAACTTCTGTTGACAAAACCCTGTAGTCTAGACGTACCCTAAGAAAACAGCAGCATGACATCTGGAAGACAGAGTGTGGCTGACTTGCTAACCAATTGCTGGGGTCAAAGTTGCTAGACTAGGGCAGTGGAAGAGACCTGCATGCTGTTTGTGAGTGACCTAGATGGCCACGATAGCTGCAAAATATATCAGGCACCAAAGGTTGGAGGACTGACGGTGACACAGCCCAACACTAGTCTGGATTGCACCCCAGAATGTCATACCTTCTAAATGGGGTCAGAGATTGCACCCAAATAAGAAAATAAGAATGTTTAAGATAGTAAGAATTTAAGTATGTGAATTTCAAGAGCACTCACACTGGCTATGACTATAATCAATGAAAGAGTTCTTATTTACCTAAATAGAGCAAAAGTTAGGCCAGCCTTGAGCTACATTCCAACAAGATCATGCACCTTCAAGTAAGTGTTCATTTTTGTAATAGGAGCCAAATTCTGCTTGCCTTACTTCAGTAGTCCCCTAAAGACTCTGAGATGGCTCACACTAGTAAGATAAGCAGATTTGCCCCAGAACAGGCCATGATCACAACTAGGCAATGGAGAGAGCTTTCTTTTTCTTTTGATGGTTTAAACCAGGGATGGGCAACCAGGAATGGTGGGTGGGACACATGAGAAGCCCTCCTTCACCTCAGTGAGCTGCAACAGCCCGTGACCTATTGGGTTTACACCTGTGGTCCTGTGGCCCCCTATCTGCTCCCTCCTCAGCCACATGCCTCATGCACCAAGGCACTGGAGCCCCCTACTCTCCCCCGCAATCAGCAGTTTCGGGGTCTGTGAATCTACTGATTCAGATTCTGTCCCAGCTACTCTCCCTCCCTCCCAGAGCTGGAGCATCATGAGCAGCTGATTCATGGTGTTCCAGCTCTGAAAAAAAGGGGGAAGAGCAGGGACAAAGCACAAACGGGGCAATTCATGGCTTCTCCAAAGATAAGAAGTGTGGGGCTTTGGTGCCCCACTGCGCGAGGTGGAGGATAGCCAGGGGGTCCACAGGCCATAGGTGGAGCCCAAGTGGGCCACATGTGGCCCGCAGGCTGCCCCCTGCTAGTTTAAACCAAGAGTTTCAAGTTTCACTGGTATTATCTTTGTTTCTTAGTCCAAATCTACACTGCAGGGCGAAGGTCAGCTTAAGGTATACAACTCCAGCTACGTAAACAACACAGCTGGAATCAACGTACCTTAAGCCAAACTTGGCACAGTCTCCACAGTGGGAGGACAACAGGAGAAATGCTCCCATCAAGTTCCCTTACTCCTTCCGACAGCGAGAAGTACTGGTACAGATGGGGGCCGGGACCCCACTCCCGACAGGAGCTGCTGGACCCACAGAAGCCGGAACTGAGCAAGCATGGCTCAGTCCCAGCTTACACTGGTCCGGTACCACTGTGGCTCTATTTTAAATGTAGTAAGAGTCAGATGGCTCTTATTAAATTTAAAAATGCAGAGCCACAGCTGTCCTAGCTGTCCCAGCTAGCACTGGTGTGGGGTCTATCTTCTGCGTGCCCAGCTGCACAGTTTAAATTTAAACTGCAGAGCCGCAGCGGGATAGCTCTGGACCAGCGTGAGCCGGGACAAAGCGCCCTCCCTTAACGACTAATTGGGTAGTTAATAGAAATTGTATTGACTTCACGATTAGTCTATTACGCACCTCTTAACATCCTTATTTTAGAAGAGTAATGACTATGTTTTCCAACATCAAACACTAGATCAATGAGGTCTATTCAAGATATGACTGGCAACCATAATAACCCTCTTGCAACACCAAAACTGATATACATCTCTATGCCTTTATCAAGCGTTACCTGCATATATCCAGTTTCAGCTGTTTTTACTGCTGTATCAACTAGACCTTCTCGACCAGCCATTGTATGGAAGAAGAACTCAGTAGGAGTCAAGCCAGAATAGAAACTATTGGCAACAAAACCTTTTGCTGCTGGAAGCTAAAGGAGGAGGAAAAAAAGTTCTGAAGACACATTCTACAAGTCTGCAATAGCAAAACATTTCTTCTAGTGGGGTCTCCTGAGTTGCAACCTGGTTGGAGAACGACATGAATGCTCATTTTTGAGTGGCAATGAGAAAGTATGGCAGAAGCATGACTTCCACTTCTCAACCTGGCCCTATGGATTGTGGAGTATCTAACATGATTCATACTGATGGGAGTTTCTAACTGTGGTCATTTTACTTTATCAACTTATTTTGGCTACTGATGAGGGTCTGGTCAATAGAATTTATACCGGGATGAGGGAACTTTTTTGGTCTGGGGATTACTGACCAACAGAAAAACACAAAAAGCCCTCACTCAGGTGACCTCCCCCCCCCCCACAACTGAGAAGTGGAAAAAAAAGACACTAAGCCTCATGGGGGGAAGTGTGGTGTGCAAGGATCAGGGCTCCATGACTTGGCCCAATCAACTTTTCTAGGGAGCTAATAGATTTTGCGGGCCCCCTCCCCCAGGCTCAGAGGTGGAGCCAAAAGTAAGCAGTTCAGTGTGACGGAGGGAGCTGCCAGGGAACAGATTGGGGGTGAGTGCAGGGTCTGGGTGGGAGGTAGGGTGTAGGAGAGAATTAAGGTTTGGGGTGCCGTGTTTGGGACGGAGAAGGTGGGGCTGTTTCACCTCCGGGGCAGAGGGGAGCACGTCACTCTGCACTGCCTTATGCTTGTGGGCACCGCCCCCCGCTGCTCTCTCTGGCCGTGGGGAAAAGCCTGCAAGTGAGCACTAGCTTCCCTGCACTGCTGTTTCTCCAGCCAATGGGGGAGGGCGAACGGCAGTGTGCAGAACCACTTCCTTCCCGTCAGGCAGAGCCAGACATGCAGGGGCTTTAGTGCCAGCTCCTTGCTGCTTCCCCCACTTTAGGGGATGGGGTAGTCTCACAGGATCAATCAAGGAAAGCCAGCAGTTGGATCTGGCCTGTGGGCTGTAGGTTTCCCAGCCCTGCTTTACACAAACTGCTCAGAGCCAATTTAGAAGCTTATTAAACTAAAACCCCATCACTAGCATCCAACTCTGCTGGGCTCTTACTACATTCAAAGTGCAGAGCTGCACTTTGCAGGTCAGGTAAACTCCTCGGAGAATGGGGGGGGGGATGTTGCACAAGCAGGGATGAGTAGTTCTAGTTCGCACAACTCTGGGACCACTGTGGCTCTTCCTCCCCTGCCCCCAGCACAGACCTGGCTTTAATCCAGCTCCCTCCCCTCCAACTTGCTGCCTCTGATACACAGGCAGGGGGGACAAAGAGTACTGTAGTTCAACAGTCACTTGACTAGTTGCATACATCCCTAGTAAGGACCTATTTGTCAGGACTAAAACCTGTTTCATGCTACTGACCTTACAATGCTTCTCGAAGTGAGGCAGAGACCTATTTTCAAATCCATCAGGCACTCGTGACCCACTGATAGCCTGCTGTCCTACACAGGCAATCATCTGGGATATGTTAATGAAGGAACCTAAGAACCAAGAGACATCAACATTAAAAATCCTCTAATGAAGGATGCTAGTTCAAAGTGGAGATGAATGGCACACCATTTACTAGGTCATAAGCAAATTGTTTTAAATGTGCAGTCAAACTCTTCAGTTATTTCTCCAATTCAAACCTACTTTCACAGGCTGGAGATACCAATCAAAATTAAGACATCCCTACAAGAACTCCTTGCCTGTCAATCAAAAGATTGAGTTTTCTATGGATCAAAGACCTTTATGATTGATTACAAGTTTTATGTTAGCATAATAAAAAATACCAATCAAGTTATCTACAACCCTATAATTCATGTTTATTAAAATCATTTCTTATTATTTCATTGTTGGGCATCTCTTTTGCTGTTGACAGATACAATATCAACTGCTTTAAAAACCCATCTTGAATTTAGACCGTTTCTCTACACACATAGCTTCATTTGATTAACTCCTTCTGAAAATGGTCAAAACAACATAGACTTACTATGGCTTTAACTTCAGGATACCAAAATGTTATACAAATATAAATATTAATAAAACTCCTTCCCCTGTGAAGTATTACCTCTCTCCAATACAGATGGAGGCAAAGAGCACAATTAACTTGCTCAAGGTCACACAAGAAATTAATAGCAAAAGATCAGACAATACCCAAGCAAAAGAAGAAAACTAATTGGTTCAACTGATTTAAGCAAATCAGTAGAAATGAGGATCACAAAACATGACATGGAATGACTTGACTTTCCACTGCCATTATCTTCCTGACCAATACTTTTTCAGATAACCCTACAAAAATATGAGTGTATTTGACTCTGAAATAAATGTGTTTATTTGTGTATTTCCATAAGATTCCCTCTGGCAATGTACTGGATGGAGGTTCTTTTTGTAGAGCAATAAAAACCTAAATCAATAAAAGAAAGGGTGGTACTGAGTGTGACCATTTACAAGGCAATTTAAAAAGAAGCTAGTTTTACCCTCTCCAAAGGTTCTGATAACGATACATGCTATGTACTTACACAACTGCATGTTTTAGACAAAACATACTTCTTAACGTTTAATGCAAAGGTGGAACAAGCAATTAACAGCAAATGATGTAAGCAGCAACTTCATGCAATATTGTAACTTCACTGATCTTACCTTTAGAACCACAGAGCGCCATGATAAGGGGACTGTTACTCTTATCTAGTTCTCTGAGACAGGCACTGCCAGCGTGGTCTCTGATCACAGAGAGCTCTTTAAGGATTAAGGCCTAAAATCACAGAGTTCAGACATTTAGTATTAGTAACAGGTAACGTGCACATAGTATACTAAGGCTAGCCACCAAAAAACCTTCAGCGATGTTCTGTATGAAGACTACAATAGCATCAAAAAGGCGAGCAAAAATTTGCTAAAATGTAAAAAATTTCTGTTTTCTGAAATGCATGAGAATCTTAGTGAAATGAATTACACAATGGGAGACCCACTATAGATTAGGGATGTAAAATTCCATTTAATCAGTTAGCCAGTTAAACCTTAGGTTTAACTGATTAAGCAGGATGGGGGGGGGGAGGGGTTCTCTCCCCGGTTACCCATTCACAGCCTTACTATCAAGTTTATTTGTATGTGTTCTATAATGTATTTTGTGCAAGTATTACATTTAATAAGAGATTTTATTCCTCTTCTTCTCTACTTCGAGAAGGTAAAACTACTGCTTTTTGTGACTAGCATCGAATTGATTACTAGCAAAGTGACATCTTATTTTAGCTGTACAGAGCTTCTGAAAAACAGTGATTGAGCACTTCTAGAAATTGACTAGCTAAGGGTATGTCTACACTTGCACCCTCTTTCGATTTAAATATCCCACGCTTCATTTGCATATTCACATTATGGCACAATTTCAAAAGAGTGCTATTTTGAAATAACAGACTCGGTTAAGACGCCGTTATTTTAAGAGAAAACCCCTCTCTCAAAATAACTGGTAAACCTCATTGTCTGAGGAATAAGGGTTATTTCGAGAGAAGGGTTCTCTCTCGAAATAACAGACACTGTTAAGACGCAGTTATTTCAAAATAGCGCTATTTTGAAATAACTGCGTCTTAACAGTGTCTGTTATTTCGAGAGAGAACCCTTCTCTCGAAATAACCCTTATTCCTCAGACAATGAGGTTTACCAGTACCTAAGAGAACAAAGGTTTGAAACTTAATGGAGGCGACAGCTACATGATTACCCAGGTTCTTCAAGTTAGGCATGTATATAAGTACAATGATTCATTCCCCATAATTTTTAGGCGAAGTCATATTTAGAACCTGCTGTGTATTTTATAACCTTTTAATCAAATCTTACTGAAAACTATCTTGTAACAGGCTAGTATTGTTGTTTGTTTTACACAGTCCTGCAAGTAAAGCTGGCTTTGGCTTAGTTTGCAGCCTGCCTGACATGAGCTAAATGTTACTTTAAATTGCCTTGTCATCAAGTCAGCTTGTTTACAACAGCTACACAGAACAGAGATGGATATTTAATAAATTAAGATGCGCTTAAATTGAAGATAATGCAGCAATAAATTGTGTTGCCAAAAGCAGTTAGAGAAGTGGACTGAAAGCTAGCAAAAACACCCTATGCAGAGAAACAGGTCAAAGTGGCCTGGCCAAAACACGCATGATTGTGTACTATCAGAGAACACCACGAAAATGACAGCAAAATCTTACATGCCAATTAAAGTTCATACATGAGTATTGTATGAGTGAGATAAAATACTTAACTAATGATATGTAATATGGATGTCTAATTAAAATATGAGAGGCAGGGCTAAGGGAGCAGTTGTCCCAGAGCTCCTGGCTGCCACCACAGTAGCCCTGGACACTTAAAAAAAAATCGCATTTGGAGTGCCACACACAGCTGAGAGGGGCCAGCATGGTGTGCTACAGGTGGCTGAGGGCTGACTGTGCCCAGCCCTACTGCTTCCTCCCACAGCCCTGTCCTTTCCAGAAACGGGGAGCCAGGCACATCCCCAACCTTGCCAAGGAGCCCAGCAAGTCTGTCAGCCCCCTGGAAATAGCACTTTAATAATATTTGTATCTGCAAGATATGCTTTCAATTAAAATAAAGTTTTGATTTAATAAACCTGGCCTGAGTGTGTGGCACCCTCATTCAACGCTATTATGACCAACCAAGTACCACTCACCTCTAATGTCTCTTCTGCGGTGCAGCCAGGCTGCTGCTGCAGCTTGCCAGTGTTCAAAGCTTCAATGTACTCATCACATTTCTTATAGCCGGCATTTAGCAGCTCATATTTAGCCTTTAGCAGCCCCTGTCCTGGAGTTACATCACCAATCCCAATTGAGAACCCTCGGTTAGCTACAGTAAAATTACAAAAAAAGATACTGATATATGTAAAAGAAGTTCACTGAGTTCTTTGCAGATAATTTTGTTCCATTATATGGCATTTGCAAATCCATCTCCTGAGTTAAAAACGAAATTGTGAACAGATGCACTTTTTCCATTTCCATCAAGTATCTTACTAATTTTATTTGTTTGAATAAGCTACATATTAATAGCAAACTTCCTGGATTTAAGTTACAATATTACAGTAAAATATTGTTAGAACAAAAGGCTCCCCCTCCCGCCCCTCGCCAAGCTACTTACAGAGGTAGACAGGAGCAAGCCTAGCTAACCGTGACATAGCATCTGCTGCTTCCACCTGTCCCCAGTCTCTCAGCAGAATGTAAAAAATATTTTTCTTGGATCCGGATCCTAATGTTCCTTTGTCCATACTACCACTCATCAACTGGCTATTCTGGATTGTAACATCTGGAGGCACAAAAGGAAAATACTGAAAGCCTAACACCCTAAAAGACCAAGAGTTTAACTTAGGTTACCAGTCATTTAATAGTATTTCATCATAAATATGTTATCTGTCAAAGCAAAAAGCTGGAAAAAACCCCACATGCATTTGTTATGCCCACAGAAGTATAACACTGAATGAAAGAAGATACAGTCCAAGGCTATGTCTACACTGGCACCTTTTTCCGGAAATGCTTAAAACGGAATACTATTCCGTTTTCAGTTTTTCCGGAAAAGGAGCGTCTACATTGGCAGGCTGCTTTTCCGGAAAAGCCCTTTTTCCGGAAAAGCGTCTGTGGCCAATGTAGACGTGCTTTTCCGGAAAAGACTACTAGGCTGTCTACACTGGCCCTTTTCCGGAACAGTGTTCCAGAATAAGGACTTATGCCCGAGCGGGAGCAGAATAGTTTTTCCGGAATAGCGGCTGATTTTGTACAGTAGAGC